TATTTCTTATTTAATATTCTATATAAATTTCCGGAAACTATTTTATATTTTTTATTTTAAACACGCCGTATCTGTCTTTTACTAATTTCTACGATTTTGTATTTTAATTACGTTTCTGAAACTTATTTTATGTTTTTTATTTTAAATAATTCGTATGTTATTTTATCGAGCCGTGATCGGCATCATACGTAAGTTTAAAGAATTTCTGGAACACAGATAATTTGCTGTAGGGTCTTAAATTAATTTATTAACTAAAAAATTAAATAATGATTAACAAGATATTTAGTACTTTTAGCCAAAGCGTATTTAGCGCAAATTGTTCACGATATTAAGAAAATTTGTATGTATCTTTATATAAAGAACATATATAGAATATTTTATCAATCTTTATTTAAGTATGAATCATTAAAACGAATAATGAAAATTGAGACATAATGTTGAAATATCAAAAATATCCCACGCGAATAATTACTAATTACGTTTAAAAGAAGATTGTGCTAGAGATGCCACAAAGCAAAACGCGAAATGTACGGCGATACCCGTTTGTCAAAATTATGTAAAATACGAATAATTGAAGAAGCCGTGAATATTTTTCATACGCAATAATTGGGTATCTGAACGGCGCCCGCGGAGCAGCGAGGGGACGGATCCCGCGACAAAAAGCGTGGTGGAGAGGGTCGCGCGACGAAAAGCGAGGGGGAGCGGGTCGCGCGGCGCCGTGGTCGACTACGTCTTCACTTCGGTAGTTCGGTATGCGCTCGGTGACCACGAGGCGAGAGTGAGACGGACGTGTGGCACGAGGATGCCGCGCATTAATCTACGAAAATGAGATATTCATGAACGCATATTGATGATTAATTACGTAACGATGCCCAAATAGTAATGTTGCTCAAAACTAAGGCGTGTACTAAGAGTTATATCTCAATCTTTGTTATTCTCTTTGATGATTTGCGGCACGGCTATATACTTGTCTGTACGAACGGTATCACAGGAGTCATAAAAAAGCAATGTTAATACGAATACTCTCATGCAAATAACACAATTCCTGCTTTTATAATTAATAATTATTTTAAAGAATATATATAATTGTTTTATATTCAATATATATTAAACAATGGGTACAAAATTCGATGCTTACAAAAATTGTATTTCCAAAATTGCGTGATTATTTTTCAGCAAACTGCATGCGTTCATATAGCAATTGTTTTCTTAAGTACTGATTATTTCTTTTCTTTGTTTTCATTTGAATTTTACCTTTTTTGTTACAGAATCATCGAAGCGACGTTGCAGATAAAACTCTACTGCGTTGCGCATCTGGTCGGTGAGTAATGAATCAACATTTTTATTGGGGTAACGGATGTATGATAATTTCATTGGCATACTATGTACATACCTGAATACGTGTTTTTGCATGGATTTATTAACAATATATAGACACAAATATGTATAACGTTGCATACATCCGTTTCCTTAAATTGAACATGTTATAACTGATTGATATCGTGTTGTTATTCGGATAAATTTAGTTATGTATGTCTGATTCTCTGGCGAATCTTATAGATCCGAATTTCTAAAGATTAGCGTTAGAAAATAGAGAAATTTTAGTAAGCCAAAATTGAAGGAAAAATTAAGCGGGATAATGTGACAAAGTGTGAACTTATAACAATAGCATTGATTCCTTTATTCGCACAATTGTAAACTCACACTGTTAGAAATGTAACCACGAACTTCTTTTACATGTAAATGAAGCTCATGTTTATGAATGAAATTAAAAGTAATCAATGATTTAATTGAAAATTAAGTTACAGTTATTTAAATATAATAAACGTATATATTAAATTTATGAAATTTAATGTACAGGGTGTTACAGATACATACTAGGCAGTACGACGGGTTGCACGGCAATTTTGCATAGGTTAAGCGCCTACTCCCGGGCGCCTACCCATGCAAAATTTGCCGCGCAACCCGTTGTACTGCCTAGTATGTAATCTGTAACACCCTGTACTTTTAATAACATTTTATGTAAAGTACATTAAATTTATGAAATTTAATATACTTTTAATAACATTTTATGTAAAGTACATTAAATTTCATAAATTTTCATGAAAAATATATTAAATTTTATGTACATGTATAAATATATTAAATTTTATGTACACAAATATACTTTTTAGTTATAAATACATTAAATTTAATGTAATGTCATGAAATTAAGTTCAAGTTGTGTAACTTAAAAGTTAATGAAATTTAAGAACATTTCTAACATTGTACGCTATAACATGTTGCTTAGAGCCTACACTGTTAAATTTTATGGGGTCAAATTAATTCAATGTGAGTCGCCACTGCTCCTACTCAATAATATCGTTATTTTTTACTAAAACAATGGTTATATTTGACACTATACGGGATCAATTTAACAGTATATAGTGTCAAATTTAATTATCATTTCAGTAAAAAATAACGATATATTTAATAGGAGCAGTGGCGACTCTCTCACATTGAGTTTATTTGACCCTATAAAATTTAACAGTGTACGTACAACAAACCTAAATGATTGATACGCCGTATACAAAATCATACAAAACAGTTGATTCTCAGAGAAAAAAATCTCGTCGGTGTGTAATCCTTTCCACACATTTCTCCTTCTCTCTTTTTCATGAATTATTTACATGAATTATTGCCTTTAGCAGGCAGTTATATATAAATAACGATAAATTCTTTGGTATTTTCTGTACACTTCTCGAGAACGGCGGAAGTGCGCCAAAGATCGGCAGTTTTCTGCATACGATCCTCAGCATCGAGAAAGATAAAACCGTGGTGATAGAATTATTAGCTATCGCACAGATACTCTGTTGATAGTGATTCCGTTTCCGTAAGTTTGGAAACTGGTTCGGCCTCGTAAATCGTAATGTCCAGATCTACCGTATGTACATTCTTCTTGAATGGCTGCCGTCTCTGTTACGAATATATATCAATAATTTATATAACACGATATCAATCTTATTTATCTTTTATTTTATTTATTTAATCCTATTTATTAAATAATTGGAAAATAAATTTCTCACACAGAAAAAAATGTTTCGGCTGCCACAACCGAAAGTAATGATAATTTTCGCCTATCAATACATCTGATTGTAAGATAGACGTATTCTTCGATCTTTACAGCCATAAGCGTAAAAATATGCCAATCTTACAGTTATCACAATCGTATTACAGTTCTTGTAAGCAAAAAATGTATAGATGGGCGACTTTTGGTCATGGCAACCACAGCCATTTTGTTCTGTGTATATACATTATACACCTTAATAAATTTGGGTCGTCGAGTGGCTTACCATTCAATGCGATTGAATCGCGATCTGTAGATCTAGGTTCTCGATCCCACCTGTGCCCACATACGCGATTTTCTGCGTTTAAGGAGGCAAAAATGGCTTCATCGAGGGGTCGATTGTGTATCTTGAAGTGAGGAGAAAATTACAAAAATGAGCAAATTCATTAAAATTTTCATAATTTAATTTGTCAATATCTATAGCTGCCCCCCTCCCACTTAACCAAATTTTAATGAAAAAAATTATGGAATAATGCGCTATTTATACGCTACCCATATCTGCAAAAAAATTTTTGCGCTCATTCCGTTTAGCTAAAAAAAAAATTTTTTTTGTTGGGGGCTGAGTAGGCAGTCAGTCAGCCCCCATCCATTAAAAACAACCGATATGGAAAATTAAATACACAGGATTTATGTGCTACTTATATGCTACTATTTCCAGGCATTTTCGGTTTTTGCGCTGCAACCCTTATTGAGGGAGAGAAATGCCTTAAGAGTTGCGGCGCAAAATCCAAAATGCTTGGAAATAGTAGCACATAAATCAAAGAATTGTTTTGCATAGTCAGAGTATTTAATTTTGCAATTTTAAACGACTTAGGCCCAGTTTCACAACTTACGGTTAACTCTTAACCGAGGTTTAATTTATTTCTCATCTTTTTCCAATTCTAGAATTGAAAAGAGATAATGAATAAATTGAACCTCAGTTAAGAGTTAACCATCAGTTGTGAAACTGGGCCTTAGTGGTGAATATGACTGTTCGCTCCAAGAGGGAAGTGCCTTAAGGGTTGCAGTGCAAAAATCGAAAATGCCTGGAAACAGTAGCGCATAAAAAGCACATAAATCCTGTGTATTTAATTTTCCATATCGGTTGTTTTAACAGGAGTGGGGGCTGACTGACTGCCAACTCAGACCCTCACAAAACATTTTTTTTAGCTAAACGGAATGAGCGCAAAAATTTTTTTTTGCGAATATGGGTAGCGCATAAATAGCCCATTATTCCAGAAATTTTTCATTAAGATTTGATTAAGTGGGGGGGGGGGGAAGTTGGCAGTCAGTCAGCCCCCCCACCTGTTAAAAACAACCGATATGGAAAATTAAAAATACACAGGATTATAATTACAATAATAACTACATACAAGATATAAGAGATAGTTATTATGGCTAACTGCACAATTGATATTATCTTTATGCGTAAAACGCATATACATCAGTCATGTGGAATAATCTTTGTACGACACATACATTCGGATGAGCTATACTTAATGGTAATATAACGTGATTACTATAAATAGTTAGCGTGATCTTGAATTGTTGCAAATTGAAGATTATTTCTCGATAAAGCAATATACATCCTTATTATATAAAGAATATTTACGAGTACCTATATTTTCAAGGATATGAAGACACAATTCTGAAGATACAACTTAAAATTTGTAATGTCGCACAGTACAGTTTCTTTTGATAAACAGATATTTTATTACATTAATTGGGCAGTGGATATTAATAATTAATAAGTAATTTGTCTATCCTTGTAAATATAAATTTTTATTACACACACAATTTAAGGTTTTCATAAATCTTTAAGTTTTATAATAAGTTTTTGCATCTTATAATAATCTTATAATAATAATAAAATTTGCAAACATAATCTAATATATTATAATGTCCTTCATAACGCTTAGGAATAAGAAGTGTCACTACTACAATTACTTCCCGATATATATACACAAGTTAGTACAGGTGGTACTTCGCAAATGCAATTAATACAAAAGGTGGTATAATCTTGAGATGGCTCTAGTCTGTCTCCAATGTGCAGTAGCAAATTACCAAATATGCACATATCTGAAAAAAGGAATATCAAATAAATAATCATAATATATTTTCTTAGAATATGATAAATATTAATAGTACGTCAATTATTTTATATAGCATATTCTTATATTCAGTAAATTGGATGCGCAATGAGTTGTATTTTGTAATTAGTTATAATTTTATAGGATACATAATTATTAACGTATTACATAAATTAATTTTGCGCAGTTACCCATATGTAATGTTTATCGCAATTACCTCCTATTTGATGCGATTCACAATACGATTGTGTAATTAGTATCGCTTGATCGTTCAAATACGTGTCAATATCTCATTTTATATACCTTACGTATTTATATGATTACCAAATGGCAATCTATCATGAAGTAATACATTTTTTTCTTAATATCGCGATCCATAAAATTAATAAAAATATTAATAATTAATGAATTTTAACAAATTAACAAGACAAAAAATTAACTTCTTCAGCTTCGTTAAAGTACGCTAGTATTAATTTTATTTTTCATACATAGATAATGCTCCAATTTTCCAAGTGCTTTAGAATTTGAATTGAATAACGATTCGAGTGATTACTTATTGAAAGAATGTGATATAAATTAATAAAGAAAATATTGTTTACATTAAAAAAAAAATTAAAATATATATAACAAATTGTACATATCATTTCAATGCCATGCGAATGTATGTATATATTCTAAATTTCTTAACAAATATATCAGAAATTTTTTTATTGACCGAATATTCCGCGAATGCATATGGGATTTTATAAAATAAATTTACGTTTAAAAATAAATATGAAACATACTACTCCAATCGTTATCCATTATAAAAGGTAATCGGCTAGGAATGACAACATCACCAGGAACGTCTGAAAAATTCAATAAAAGTTATTGGGAATAACACAGCGATGAAACGTGTACAGCATTCAAATTGCAAACTTACGACATAATATCGTCAGATAACACGGGTTCTTTTCTGCGTAATCATCGTAAACTGGAGCACAATTTCGACGAAAATAATCATCGTGACTGAATGCAGGGTGACGACATGGGGAATGATTAGGCTTGATACAAAAAGGTGGAACATTTATACCTAAAATTAGAAAATTCGCAGTTTTAATAGGTATGTATATTACAATTTTGGGAATTATATAACTTAACTGTTCAATATCAGAGTTTATACCATTTTGTTACTTATCTATTACATGGGCATGAAAATATCGCGTAAAAATAAACATATAACAAAACATATATTTTTTCAATGGAAATGTCAAATATTAAGGATCGATAACAAGCAAATATATTTTTATTAATAAGAAGGTTTCAGCGTATGAAGTAAAACAAATCTCTATGGAGACAATGGCACCGAAAGGTTAAAAGTAATGTAAATTTATTATATGATAATAATTAATATTATTATTACCTTCGTACCCTGGTTGGCAGATGCAAATCAAATCGGGTTCTTCATCCACTATGAAAGATTCACCATCAAGATACGTTTGACCGTTTATATCACAAATAGGTATATCTTCCAGTTTTGCAGCTAAAACATATAAGAAGCACACTTTACGATTATACTTTCTATAGTTTTATTTAATTCATGTGTGTATTTATATGACTGACCGATTAACTAACTTAAATCAAATTTTTATAACGATAATAAATATAATTGTGTTATAAGCTAATTATATACAGTGAGTACGAAAAGTATTCGTACAGAGAAAATATTTTTTAAAAAACTTTATTTTAAAAAATTAAATATTATCCAGCGAGAAATGAGTAATCGAATTTATGTCGAATCGATATCGATACAATGATTTCAACACCAATTTGACGTCGATTCGATGTTTAATTGATGATTATTTCTTGCTGGATAATTAACAATTTATTCATAAAGTATAAAATAGACTGTATGTTTCTTATAAATATATATGTACCAAAAAAAGATATGTATTAATTATAGAAAATATATCATTTGAAAAATAAGTGAAAATTAAAAGTTCTGTTGTTTGGATGGTCAAAAAGTATTAGTACAGTCGAGAAATGTAGCTTATAAATAATATCAGAAATACGAAGCTTATTGGTATATATTAAAACAGAATTCGTTATATAAAATTACTAATTAATGTTTATTTTCTATATATAAGACTTTTTTTATAAAAAATTTCCTTGTACGAATATTTTTTGCTCTCACTGTATATTATATATACCTTCTTGAATTTTAATGAAAATAATTTTTACATAATAATTACCTGTCAAGTGTTGTGAATATACAGAATATATAATGTAGTACATAAGTATATACATGTATGCTTTTCAATTAATAATGTACTTACGACAAATTTCTGTCGGATTTTTGCAACATGTTGTTGGGTCTTTCCGTAAATAGCAACCATCTTTTACCTTTATCTCGGTGATGTCGGTACATTTGAAATTGTCCACACAGTGAAACGCAGCACTATATGAAAAAATTGCAGTTTAATCAAAAGATTTCAATGATCTTTACATTTTTTATATCTTAGCTGTAATTAATTAAATATTTGATATTTTTACGTGAGATTAAATACATTTTTTTATATCAAATACGTTTTTTTTTTCAAACTTTGCATTGTAAAATGATGGTTTATAGACGAAAAATTTAGATACTCTACAATGTAAATAAGTGACGTGTAACTGTTTGATAATCAGAAATCCGTCAAGTAGCCGTTACAAATAAAGACAAATCGCGTTAAATATGAAATGCGTAATACGATAACATGTAATTTAAATTAAATAACATCATCTCGTCTAAAATATGAAAGCATAGCAACACTTTTTAAAAAAATTAATATTAATAAATTATTCATATAAAGAATATACTCAGCTATTTTTATAGAATTGCATATTTATATATAATTGCATATTGCAAAATGTAAATGTTCTCTAAATATAAAATTTAGTCTTTTTTATGGCATATATGACAAATATAAATTAAAAACCGTGATATATGTACATGTGTGTATAGTTATTATTTTCTTTAGCTATTTTATCTTTATATAATTTGTTCATAATATAGACTAATCTTGCTCGATAGATTATACACACATATACATATATATATACTATTTCTTATTAAAAATAATGCACCTGTTTTACGGTGAAATAATTTAATTTATTTATTTCAATGTCATATGTATATTTACATTAGATTCTTGACTAATGGGGCTCTGCAAACACATAAGGTATCGCAAACGTTTGAATCTTCAGGATTAAGGAGTTGTTTGGCATTATATATATGACCGTTAATATAACACTTGTCCCTAGATCTTTCTTTAATATGATTACAGTTGAAACTTTTCGGGCAATAGTCCTTCTTGTTGTATATTGGCGTGCATCCGAGATCCTCGTAATATTTCCATGGACCCGGGCATCTAGATACGTCTTTATTTTCTAAAACTAAGACTTTTTTTTATAAAAAATTTCCTTGTGCGAATACTTTTTGTTCTCACTGTATATAATATATATATACTCTTTTTTGAATTTTAATGAAAATAATTTTCACATAATACTTACCTGTCAAGTATTGTGAGTATACAGAATATATAAAGTACATAAGTATATGGGGCATTCTTTTACAAACCGAACACTTTTTTTTTCGACATTTTTAAATCGCTTCAAACTTTTTTTACCAATTGTAGGTATAAAATAAGCGAACACGTGTATC